CCCTAACCCCTAAACCCTAAACCGCGGCCTTTGTGGGAACAGTCGAATACGAATCAGCGCCCGTCAAAGTGTTCAGGGCCTACTTCCCTTCAGAGTGTTCCTTTTAAGGGCTTAGGGTTCCTTTAAGGGAGCCATAAGGGATCCTTCAAGGGATCTATAGAATTCCTTTAAGGGTTTAGGGTTCTAGGGCTTTTGGTTTGACGTTCCTGGTTTCGGGTTTACGCAGTAGGCTTAGGGTGTAGGGTGTTCCTGTAGACCCTGCCAACATATGGGGCCGAGTGCTCCTGATTTTGGGAGCTCCGGGTTGGCTTCGGCATCCGTCTCCCTAAACCTTTCCAAACCCTTCAAACCCTTCTAAACCCTTTTGAACCCTTTTCAAGCCTTTTTAACCCCTTTTAAGACTTCACATCCTGTCTTTAAAACAGCGGGACTGCTTGAACAAGCGAAATTGCACGCGCTTCAGGTCGAGTCCTTGTTGCAGCTTCCCCAAGATCCAGATGTGCCTGACTCTTAGTAGCTGAGTGAGTGGGTTTAGGGTTTAAGGGTTTTAGGATTTAAAGGTTTAGGGTCTAGGGAAAAATTATCCCTTATAGAACTGAAAATATACATTTTGTGCTTATGAACTCAGCAACTAAGGATACGGACGGCGACACACCTTTGGGGTCGGCGTCTTACCATGGCCGTGTCGAAGTCGCGCGCTTGCTGCTGGAGGCCGGTGCCCAAGTGGGTTTAGGGTTTACGGTTTAGGGTTTAGGGTTTAGGGAGGCCGGTGCCAAAGTGGACTTGGAAGACGCCTGGGGCTTCACAGCTTTGCGGTTGGCATCTCGCTTCAACCATGTCGAAGTCGTTCGCTTGCTGCTAGAGGCCGGTGCCGTCACGGACTTGGCAGATGCAGACGATTGCACAGCTTTGAGGTTGGCCACTTTGCAGGGTCATGTCGAAGTCGCACGCCTGCTGTTAGCGTCCGGTGCCGAAGACGTGGCAAACAGCAGAGGCGATACGGCTTTGATGATCGCATCTCGTACCGGTGATGTCGAGATGGTCCGCTTGCTGTTGGCGGCCGGCGTCACGATGGACTTAAGGAACCAAGACGGCCACACAGCTTTGACTTACGCATCTTGGGAAGGTCGTGTGGAAGTCGTGCGCTTGCTGCTGATGGCACGAAAAGACAGAGACTTAGCAGCCTCGGACGACGAAGTTTGCGGAGCTTTGAGGATGGCAGCATCGAATGGCTATGCTGAAGTCGCACGCTTGCTGCTGGAGTCTGGCGCCGAGAAGGATGTGGCAAACGACGAGGGTCGCACAGCTTTGGTAACGGCATCTGCTTCAGGTCGTGTCGAGGTCGTGCGCTTCTTAGAAGAAGAGTAGGCAACCTTCATTTTAGCCTTTTCGGGCTACTGTAGTCCGTATACAATCCCAAAGGTTACCCTTTCGCTGCCCTAGGATACTGGACAACTAAGGCTTACTTCTGGAGGCCGGGGCCAACCCGGACTTGGCAGACGAAGACGGCTGCACAGCTTTGATGATTGCATCCTCGAGGTGTGACCTGGAAGTCGTCCGCTTGCTGCTTGATTCCGGTGCCGACAAGGATATAGCAGACAAGGGCGGCCGCACAGCTTTGATGAAAGTGTCTTTTGGGCCTCCTGCGATCATTCGGTTGCTATCATGAGCCAGAGCTTTGAGTCTTGGTACCATGCTCTGCTCTGCGGGCATCGGAAAAGTCGTTGTCATCATCCGGAGAGCGGAGGCGCGACTGAGGCTCCCATTGTGCGCATAATTCTAAACTAAATGGTATATACTTAAGCCTTGAAGGGATTCCGATATTGGTATGTTTAGGCTTAAAGTACATGCACTATACATGTAATGTATATGGAGCCTTACGGTTCTGTTTGCAATGTTTCGCAGTTTAGGTGGTTTCACTGAGATGTTGTTTGCCTGAAATCGACAAAGCCCGGCCCTGTCAAAGGCGAACCCCAAACCCGAAATTTAAACCCTTTATCCCCGAAAAGCCCTAAACCCCAAAACCTTAAACCCAAACCCGAACCCGATTCACCAGCTGCTTTGGTGTGGGTTCGCTTCTGCCCAAGTAGGATTAGCTGCACTGGCAGACTGTGTGCGGATGTTGCATGGTGGATAAGAGGCCTACTACTGGTAACTAGTATTGGTAGCCTGAACTTCAGTTCCGTCCTGAAAAGAACATAAGGACTTTAAGATGCTGCTTTCACACGACAAATCAGACGACTTGGTCCAGTATTGTGGAATTCCGCCCGTCATTTCAAGAACCCCATCAACTCCCTTCCCCCCTCATGCGTGGCCAACACCTCCTGCAAATGCATTCCTCGAAACCCCAAGCTTCACGGCCTGACTAGGACTGTTGTGGTAGGTTGTAGTGTAACTACTGCAGGCTACCAGCGGATATTGCAATTACTGGGTTCTTGTTAAGGGGTTTTATTTAAGTTGCCATAATATAGATGTGTAGTATATAATAGGGTTTCCTTATTCTGGTAACTGAAAATAAATCCCTGAACAATAACCCCGATTATTCAGAGCCTTCTTGTTAGATCTAGAAACTCCGTAGCCCCAGACCTACCTATAATCTCTAACGTAGCCTTTTCTTTTTGCCAGCCGTGGATACGGATAGGATCACATAATCACGGGACACGGCAGCCTAAACAAAAGACAACTACATTGGAGGTTTTGCCATGAGTATTGTTCAGCATACCCCCTGAGGTTCAAAATTTAGGGCCTGGTCTTCACGCCAATGTTGCACAGACCTAGACAAGAATCAAGACGGTAGTCGCTTGCAACGGGTTCGCGACTACCCCAGAAAACCTGAACCACTACCTCATACTACACGCTTCAGACAGTCGCTCAATCCGAAACGTAACTTCAGACGCCCAGAGTCACTTTCAATCTTAATCCCAACTTATAGGCTGAAACCCAACAACAACAACGCTGAGTTGCATCCCAAACCTCCAAGCAGGGTTTAGGGTTTGGGGTTTAGGGGCATCCCAAACCTCCAAGCAAGCTTCTGATCCCTTCTAGGAGCCAGTTTAGCAACCATACTAAAGCCTCAAACCCTACATTTGGGCCATAAGTGCTTAAGAGCCGAGATCCAAGGTATTCTATCTGGCCGAAGGCAACGCGCACATCTCACCACCACTCCTCAGAACTTTCAAGAAGCCTGGCATCCAAATTAGAGTAGGGTTGGGTTTAGGGGTTTAGGGTTCAGGGTTTCGGGCAAGAAGCCTAGGGGCATTCAGAATAAAAAGGCCTGATGCGCTGCTCAAGGCGTTTAAAGGAGTCTCGACGTGGGATTCCAAACCGCGTTTGTAGGGGCTCCGTAGGGTTTATCAGTTTGGGGCCTTTTGCCCACAAGAAGATTTGGGGGACATAATATGTCTCCGATGGTCATGGAGGGACTACATGGGATATTACTGCCCATGATTCCCCCACTAGAGCTACAAACCTTGTGTCAAGTGATTCTAAACCCTTAAACCTAAACCAACCCTAAACCCTAAACCCTAAAGCAACCCTAAACCCTCAACCCTAAAGGTGTAATGCTTTTCGTTCTATACAGTATTGCAGGCTTCAAGGTCTGGCCTTGAAGCCTTAGGTGCCATGCCCCTGGTGTTTAGGGTGTGGGGTTTAGCTTTAAGGTTTAGGGTTTAAGGTTTGGGGTTTAGCGTTGAGGATTTAGGGTAACCGTTAATACCTTGGTGAATTGAATCTTAGACTTACTCTTCTGATCTCCTAGCCTTAACCAGCCCGCCCCGTACCCTAAACACTGGAAACTCGCTAATCATATCCTAATCGCGACATCGCAAACCCTAAATCTCTCAAACCCACAAACCCAAACCCAAACAAACCCCACACCCCGAAGTTTTTGCTCTGTTCTCCCAGGGACAGCAGCCAGAACTACATCTTTGATCTTGACATCGTGCCGCGGCTTCCGGGAAACCCCGACCACTATCGGCAGGCCGCTTCTTTCCAGCGCTGTTTGGGGGTTTTGGGTGTAGGGTTTTCGTTACCATACATATAATTACTGTTAAGGTTTGCTGTAAGGGTTACTAGAAGTGTTACTACAGCGGTCCAGGGCCCTTGACACTGAAGCTTCGAACGGTGGAGTCATGGAGCCCGGTAAGTATATGACAGGATTAACCCTAAACCCTACACCCCTAAACCCTAAACCCTACACCAGTCATTGTTGGGGTTGAGGGTTTGGGGGCACGCAGGGGTTCTTGCAAAGAAGCTTTATTGATCAGTTCACCGTAGTAGCTAGGGCTATACCGTCCCCCAGACCTTCCAAGCTTCCTGAATTATGGAGTTGAACAGCCCCTAAGTCATACGACTGTTGATGATCTAGATCCTGCATTACCTCAAGGACCCTAAACTATGGGAATGATGGTACATTCCTTATTCTGGGTATTGCAGGATTTATATCATCCACCGTAGGGATCCTACTATAATTTGAGGTCTTTTCCCTAATTACGGTCTATTGCAATGTTCGGGTAAGCCCTAAACCCTCATAGTACAGTTGATTCAGATCCACCCTAAACCCTAAAACCCAAGACCCTAAACCCTAAAACCCAAGACCCGAAACCCTAAGCCCCAAGCCCTAAGCCCTACCACATCCAGAGCCACGGTTTAGGGGTTTCGGGCTTTGGGTCCCTTGAAGGGAGTTAGAAGGGTTTCTATCAGGGTTCTTTAAGGGTTCTATAGGGTTTTAGGGTCCCTTTTAAAGGGCCCTTGACCCTAAACCCGAAATAAGGGTTTCTATAAGGGCTTCAAGGGGTCCTCGGGCTTAGGGTCTTGGCCCGAAGCCTTAGGGGCTCAGCGTCCACACATTACCTTAAAGGATCTAGGTTAAAGAGCTCCTTAAAGGGATCTATAGGGGTTATACGGGTTACTATAACGGGGTTTTAGGTATTTTAGGTGTGCTTAAAGGATCATGGGACGTACTAAGTAGAGTTATAATTAAGGTAACTATATGTATGTTTACTATAACCTTACTTACTAAGTTACTAAGTCTCATGATCCTCCAAGTAAGCTAAGAGGGTCTACTGTAGGGCTTTCTGGGGGAGGGTTTCGGCTTTGGGGGCTAAGGTTTGGAATTTCACTACAAGGGTCCAGGAGCCCTAGGGTAGGCATTCAGAATGGTTCCTGGCTGAAGGTTCAGGGTGACTGGTTCGAGGTTTCCGGGGTTCAGGGTTTCGGCGGCTGTGGGTTTAGGGGGGCTTGGGTTGTTGTAACTGAAAGCTCCTTAGTTAAAATCTTTTTGGGGAACAAATCCTGAGCCCTCTTGCGAACCATGCAGCCCATACCCAGAGGCTCCATGGTAGTTCCTTTGCGCGGGATACCTTATAGGATCCTAAACACAAACCACAAAAAGGAACTACTATGGAGCCTATGGGTATCCAGTGGACGGGTTAAGGGGTTTAGGGTCTAGGCGAGTTGCTGGTTTAGGAGATTTAGGCCCCAGAGTTTCGGATACCCTAAGGGTCCATGTGCCCAAATAGTATATACTTTGGCCTGAAAGTAGTCCCTACATAGGTACTTTGGGGCCAAAGTATCTCCTGTTTGGGCACATGGACCCTTAGGGATATGTTCCAATATCTGTGTTTGTCTCTTCAGCACCTGCCATGTTCCCAACTTTTTTCGGCCCCCAAATCAACCGCCAGCACCCCCCCCAAATCAGATTCCAACGCATCTGGCCTATGAGCCAGGGGTCTGCGCAGGCAATTCGCACTGCCATCACCACTGCCACGGCCCACTCGGCGGAGAAGAAGGCATAGGTTTGGGAGGGCTTCGTGGGGATATTTAGGGTTAGGATGTAAGGTTTATGGCCTGAACCGCAGACAACCCTATGTGTGTCGGTATCTATCTATCTATCTATCTATCTATGAAGTCGCAAGAAGGTGCCCCAAACAGGTACCTAAGCTTTCTAGGGTCCAGCTAGAGTATGGTTCTGGGGGCATTTTTGGATTCATGAGGGGTTGTGAAGTTGGGGCTGCGGGCTCAGGTTAGATGCTACAGCTGAGGATTTTGCTGTTAGATGGTGTTCGGTCTTTGCCTTTTTTTGCACTAGGTGCCTTATAGATTAGGCAACCCTTATGTAGAGACGACATTTAAGCTTGAAGTACCCTGCGCCCTACATGCTCCTGTTCAAACAGTGCAAACGCCGCAGCAAAGCCTGACACACCGAATAAAACTCGGTAAGTATAAGTCTTCCAACCTCGCAAGCTCAATCCAGGGGCCCTAGTTTTTTGGGATACATTCAAACATGAAGGGTTTAGGGTTTAGGGCACATACAATCGTGAATCTTCAACGCTACAAACCACAGCCCTCAAACCTAAAGCCTAAGCCCCATAAGGAATGACAAGTGAAGAGTAACATGTCCCTGTGTTATAACAGCCAGGTTCGCCTGAAATCAGATGGTCGGCTGGTGCAGTCGGTGCTTGCAATGCTGCCTGGCTTGCTAGTACCTTAGTTAGGTGTTAGGGTATCTATACATGCTTTATGTATGGCTCTAGGTTCAGGGGTTGAAGACTGGAAGTGATGGCTACAGGGCTTAGGGCTTGGGGGTGACCTAGCAGAACCTAACTTTCGGAAGCGTCTCGACACATGTAAGGTAGGGTTGAGAATGAGGCCCCACAACAAACAAGGTCC